CGGGGGATGGGGGGTGCGGCTTATAGTCGGGTGCGGCTTATATGTTGATGTTCGCGCGTTTGTTTTTTTAAATGGCGGGTGCGGCTTATAGTCCGATGCAGCTTATAGTCCGAAAAATACGGTACCAGTTTTGGACCAAAGGAAGCAGGACAGTTGCAATTAAGATAGTTTTGTTAGTTAGAGGCAGGTTCAGATATACTGTAAACACTGAAGTAAACAAGCATGTCAGATAATTATTTAATCAGTTCTGATTGAAAAACTTCAGGATCGATACATTAGAAGTAGCATCCATGTTTAGCTGCTTCTGTAAACACCATGTGATGTCACAGCTTTATCTGTGCATGCGGATCACACCAGGGCTGTGGGGAGTTCACACTGGAGTCTGATGGAAGATGCATTTAAAAGGTAATGTGAACATCCATGCCAAAAATCTGATTTTTTTTTCTCCAAAAAAAATTAGAATTGAACATTAAGCCCTGCAGTCTGAACGAGGGGGCCCAGTTAGATTTTTCGTCATTGGGACCAACATTGCTGGCAGCACCCCTGCACATGACTAACCTGTTTGTCCATGTGGAGGCGGAGCTTATAAGGCTGAGTTCACCTGAAACTCCTCAGACTGAAGAGGAGAGATGAAACATTTCATTAAAGAAGAACCCATCCACAGGACCTACTGATTTTTTCTTTTTGAGCTTGATCCAGACTTCAATCTTTATAAGAGGTTCTTTATTTGTTGAACGTGTTGAATCCAGTGCTGTTGTGCAAAGGGATTTCTTCTGTTTCTCTGAACTCYTCAGCAATGTCATCGAAAGTGCGACCTCGAGTCTCTGGGAGGCGAATCCATAATAAAATGAAGGTGAGCAGAGCCACCGCCATAAAAATGAGGTAAACACAAGCACCACAGGTTTTCTATGAGAGATTGAGACAGAAAAAACATCATCAGGTTTTTAACATGACTCAGCTGCCACACCCAACCTTAGTTCAATTTCTACATGTTTGAGTTAGTTTTATATTTTTGGTTTGACAAAGGTTTGTTCAGATGACTTTAAATATCCATCAGTTGTAGATTTACATGAAATAATCACTTTCTGAGAGCTTCATACAAATTCCTGCTCCATGAAAGATTTTTACTAAACAACAAACAAAATTCTAGGCAACACTGAAAATAAATCATCAAGGATCTGGTGCAACGTAGCCTGGTTCAAACCAGACCCTGTCCTTCACTTTGCCTCGTACGAGGGTCTGGAGTCGCTGCTATAGAGAAGTGATTCTTCCAGGAGGCGTGGCCTCTGCTGAAGCATGCGTGTGTTGTCGCTGTGACGGAGGCTAAGCTAAGAAGCTAACAGGAAATCGCGTGTGCTGTAAACAACCTTACTGAGAGGAGAAAAGTACCGAGGTGAACGAGACGACTGTAAATGAGAGCTGCTGCTTTGTCAGACTAATTTATTTTAATTTGAAGCCTTATCAACACAGACTGGCTTTATTCACTTCCTCCACTGCCGTATGCTAAAATAACTAGCAGACACTGAGCAGAACATCAACGTCATTCAAAACTCCTCCTTCTGTTCTCTGATTGGTCCAGGTAAAATAAACTAACTAGCAGACACTGAGCAGAACATCACCTTTGTTCAAAACTCCGCCTTCTGTTTGCTGATTGGTCCAGGTAAAATAAACTACAAGCAGACACTGAGCAGAAAGTCAACGTTCTGTTCTCTGATTGGCCCGGACGAAAACTCTCCTGAAGAAATCCTTGTCTTTGGGAGAAGTCCCAGACGGAGCAGAGAAGGAAACTAGAATTGAGCAGAACTGTGCAGGAAGGTAAAGGCCAGGCTAGGTGCAACGTATTGTACCCAAATATCTTTAAAATTACCTGTGTTTTGTGTGTCTTATGTTAAGATGGCCGTGGAAACCATCCTAAATTCAGTTCAGTCCAAAATGTAATCAGTTGTAGTTGAATACTCAATGGTTATTGTCTGAAAGCTTTATTAAAATGCATTCTGTGGTTCATAAAATATTTAGCTAACAGAGCTGACTCCATTAATGTCCTAATAATTATAAAAGTAATCTCACTGTATCAGTTTACACTGAATATGTGTTGGGAATAACTCTCACCTACCACACCATATTTGAGCCAATAATTGTAAAATTGAGCAATAGCCATTTTTGTTTTAACTAAGACAGTTTAACTGTGGCAGCTATATTTAATGGGACTGAATCAAAAAAGAAAAAATGAGATTTAGATATTCAGAGCGGCTCGGTGGTGCAGTGGTGAGCTGTCGCCTCTCGGTGAGCAGGATCATCAGGTCTGAGGCCTGTCTGGAAGGGCAGTTATGTGGGTTTTTTTTCCTTTTTTTTTAGAGTACTCGAGTTTCCTCCCACAGACCACAACACGCATGTTAGGTAAACTGATAAGTAGGTGTGAATGAGAGGGTGAACGGTTGTTTGTCTCTGTGTGACCCTGCAATAAACTGGAGACCAGTCCAGACTGGCCCTGCTTCTATCACAGTAGCTGTGCTGCTGGGAAAGTTGTAAGCATTCTATCATATCRACTAGTTTTGGCGATGTTACATGCTGTCTGGAGAAGTAGACAAAGAAATGCATTTCTCTTTACGTTATGGGAATAGCCTGGAAGACGCTAACAGTGTGAGGACAGTCCTGCAGCTGAGATAAACGTTCGCTACGTTAGAATTTGTTCAGCAAATGTTTCCATCTCTTTGGGCTGCCGTTTGTAAAGTCACACAGTCAAAAATTACCACCAATATTTTTGTTTTATTTAGCCTTTTATAAGAAAAAAAGAACAGATTTATTTTTCAAAGTCAGTTTTTCACCATATGATTCATACATTTATAAATGTCATAGTTTATAAACTAAATATTTAACTTACAAATTAAATATTTAGTTAACAAGCTAAATATTTAACTTGTGACTTAAATAGTTAGCTAGCTACCTAAATATTTAAGTTGCAACAAATATTTAGGTAGCTAGCTAAATATTTAACTTAAATATTTAGGTGGCTAGCTAAATATTTAACTTGCTATCTAAATATTTAACTTGCTATCTAAATATTTAACTTGCTATCTAAATATTTAACTTGCTAGCTAAATATTTAACTTAAAAATTAAATATTTAGTTAACAAGCTAAATATTTAACTTGTGACTTAAATATTTAGTTTTGAGCTAAATGTTTAGCTTGAAACTTAAATATTTAGCTAGCAAGTTAAATATTTAGGTTGCAACTTAAATAATTAGGTTGCAAGTTAAATATTTAGCTAGCCACCTAAATATTTAGTTAAATATCTAAGTAGCTAGCTAAATATTTAACTTAAATATTTAGGTGGCTAGCTAAATATTTAACTTGCTATCTAAATATTTAACTTGCTATCTAAATATTTAACTTGCTAGCTAAATATTTAACTTGCTATCTAAATATTTAACTTGCTATCTAAATATTTAACTTGCTATCTAAATATTTAACTTGCTAGCTAAATATTTAACTTGCTATCTAAATATTTAACTTGCTAGCTAAATATTTATTAACTATGACATTTATAAATGTATGAATCATATGGTGAAAAACTGACTTTGAAAAATAAATCTGTTCTTTTTTTCTTAAAAAGTTAAATAAAACAAAAATATTGGTGGTAATTTTTGACTGTGTAACTTAACAAACAGCAGCCCATACATCTCCCCTTTTGTGCATTAACTCTTTTTCGGAAAATACAAAAAAATCACCTCAACCGAGTGTGAAAATATTTTTGCAAAATTGATTACGTTTTTGCAAATTTTGCCCTCTCCATCCACCTTTTCTAATGCAGTACTTTAAAATGTACATTAAAAATGCTGAGGGAAACAAGGTTAGTGACTGGTGCAGATAAATTTGTAGTGGTTCATGAGATTTTTTTATGCTACAGAAAATTTAATGCACACACACAAACACACATACGCACACACACAAAGACAAGGGCAGAATTGTATTTGTGGCTGCAGTGATGATGTTTAAAACAGTCTCTGTAGTACATTTCCTGTATAACTGGTAATGATTCAGTCTGATTTAAAACATGCAGATGAAAATCAAGCAGTAGAAACAAAAGATGAACTGTTCTAAATGTTGGTTATGCAATCATCAAACATACCATTAATGGAGGAAAGAGAAGTGCCAGCAGAAACTTGCCACTCCAGTTCAGCATGCTGGTGAAGGCCATAGCGATGGGTCTGCCAGGCTGGTCGAACAGCTCACCAGCAAGGAACCAGGAGATGGGACCAGGGCCCAGCTCATAGGCTGAGATAATACAGAAAACTAGCAGCACCTGCAGACTTCGCAGTTCTGGAACCAGGTGCTGCACAGCAGATACAGAAATGACTGTTAAATGGATTTTCTCTTTGTCTGAAAGTTAAACATTTATTCTGTGTATAATGTACAAATATTTACAATTCTATGTTCCTAATATTTCTGTAGGCAAAGTATGATCTTGTTTTCACACAGCGCACTGAGAGGTTCCCCACAGATTAGTCCTGGGACCTATACTCTTCATCCTAATCCTCTCAACTATGTTATCAGTCACCATTCCACTGTTATTCTGATGACCCTCTTTCAGTATTTACCCCTATAATACTCACCAAATATGAGTCTGATACCCAAAACAACAACTCGTGGTGAGGACAACAGGATGTCAATAACTCCAAAACTGAAGCTCTCTTAGCTGGAAACACTTATCCAGGATGATCATTTCCTTCTCAGGTCACAACATGCTCATCTCCTTATCAGTACCAAATCTTGGTCTATTTCCTCATCTCATTTACAAGAATCATAAACACCTTTGCCAGATCGTTGTTCTCCACGTTTTACAACCATGTAAAACGTTTTTATGGGGAGCCGTTTGTAAAGTTACACAGTCAAAAATTACCACCAATATTTTTGTTTTATTTAGACTTTTATAAGAAAAAAGAACAGATTTATTTTTCAAAGTCAGTTTTTCACCATACGATTCATACATTTATAAATGTC